ATTAGTGTTTCGTTCGGTGAAATCTGACCCCCACAACCTCACAATACCATTATCCCATTTCTACCCTTTCCCATTCTAAAACTAATCTCTTTATAGTTTTAACATTCCAATAGTCATGCTCTTCATCTCACATTTACATGACAAACTATAAATTGGAATTATTCTTTAGTCACGAATAGTCAATAAATGCTTATTTTACCTTCTAATCCCTGTGGATACGATATTTTTACTACTTGAACGGCCGGTATACTTGCCGTGTTTGAGACCGTTGATAGAATTAAACAAATTTACAAATATTAACAAAAGTGTTTCAACGGAATTCTCAACAGCTGCCTCTTAAGATTTATAGCTTTCAAATTGCTTTTTTTCTTGTGTTCTAACTTAGTCAAAGAAAAATATTAAAATATCTAATATTTAAATAGTTAAATCCTAATTAGAAATTAATTCCTGACTAAATATGTTATGAGTAAAAACAAGATTTAGAAGCATGAATTATATTAATTATTATCTAAATTAAATAAAATATATATCATATATTTGACAATTATCAAAATATACAAAACTTAAAATTTTGTTTATCCTCAATCAATATAAACATTAAACACAATCTTGCATTAAAAATTATGATACTGTAAATACATTTACTTTTAACATTGACATGACATAATTAAAAGATATAATTGGTTGTAATATGGGATATGATATACGGGTTATGCTCTCATGCATAATTCTTGAGATTATTTCCTCAATTAGAATATTTAATTTGGCGTATATTTTGTTGGTTTTAATTCTCCTTTATTGCAGAATATTGTCAAATCATATCAAAGATATGAGGGAGATAATTTAGCCTGTATACTTATATATAATTACCTATTGATCAATAGAATGAGAGACGATTCTTTTCCATAACTTTGTTATGGTATCAGAGCGTATAAAGTCTCGGTGAGAATGTGTGACAAAACTCTTCTCATGGATAAAGCTGAGATCGAGAAGAAGACCGAATTGGTGAAAAAGATACCTTCACCGTATGACTTGCATGCAAAAGATAATTCAGGAAATTTGAATGGAGGTTTTCGAACAAATGCAATGCAAGTGAATGGAGAAACCAATGGGACTAATGAAAATGCATTGAGTGGACTAAGATCTGAACAATGGAAAACTCTAAAGGATTTGTTGAACAATCACAAAGGAACCACAAGTGACAAAATGACAGGTAAACATAGTGAGTGGATCATAGACACAGGGGCCTCTAGCCACATGACAGGAAACTTGAGTTTATTATGTGGGCTGAGAGACGTAATTGGGTGTCCAGTGAGACTTCCAGATGGAAAACAACTGATGGCAAACAAAGAAGGGACAGTGACACTTGATGGAGGATTGAAAGTGGAAAATGTGCTTTATGTGCCAACATTGAGTTGCAACCTGTTGTCTATTTCTCAATTGACAAATGAAACAAATTGTGTTGTCTATTTCACTAACAACTTATGTGTTATGCAGGATTGCACTTCGAAGATGCTGATTGGAGTGGGTGAACAACGAGATGGACTTTACTTCTTTAAAGGAATCCGAAGTGAGAAAGCACACAAAGCTAATGGAACTTGCGAACTTAATCTGTGGCATCAACGCATGGGGCACCCTTCTTTCAAGGTCACTAAATTAGCTTCCAACATGAGGTGTGATAACAGTATTTTAAAGAACAAACCATGTGATGTATGTTTACGGGCTAAGCAAACTAGAGATGTCTTTCCATTAAGTACAAATAATGCTAGTGATAGTTTTGAATTAATACACTGTGATTTGTGGGGGCCCTATAGAACCCCCTCTTCTTGTGGTGCTTCATATTTTTTGACAATAATGGATGATTTTTCTCGTGCTATTTGGATTTATTTGATTTCTGATAAAAGAGAAGTGTCACGTACATTGCTGAATTTCTTTGCATTAATAGAAAGACAATTTGGTAAACAGATTAAAGTGCTACGTAGCGATAATGGTACTGAATTTACATGTTTGAGAAACTACTTTCATGAACACGGGATAGTATTTCAAACATCTTGTCCAGGAACCCCACAACAAAACGGAAGAGTAGAAAGAAAGCATAGACACATTCTTAATGTTGCTCGTGCTCTACGATTTCAAGGTAATCTCCCTATTTCTTTTTGGGGTGAGTGTGTCTTAACAGCTGGATACTTGATTAATCGTACTCCCACTCCAGTGTTGTCTGGAAAAACACCGTATGAGATGTTGTATGGTCAAGCTCCCATGTATGAGCATTTAAAAGTTTTTGGTTGTTTATGCTATGCACACAACTTGGATAGACATGGTGATAAGTTTGCTAGTCGAAGTCGAAAGTGTATCTTTGTGGGTTACCCCTATGGGAAGAAGGGTTGGAAATTATTTGATTTAGATACTCAATGCTATTTTGTGTCTCGTGATGTTGAGTTCTTTGAAACGGAATTTCCTTTCACACCTACAGCTGGGGTCAAATATGATTTATCTGTGGATTCGTCGTTAATGAACGATACATTGGATAATGATGATGATAATGATTTGGATAATGACACAAGGATGGGAGAAAATACACTCAATGAGGTAGTTGTAGGTTCTGAAGTGAGGGAGGGAACTGTTGCCTTAGACAGTGAGAGAAGTGATGAGCTCGTAGAAGAAGGAAATAATCCAACTCCTAATGTTGACTCACTAGAGCTTGTTCGTCAAAGCAGTTTGGAGGAACTAGGAAGAGGTCATCGTACCAAATTGCCTTCCGTGAAGCTACGTGAGTATGTAACTCACACCATAAAGAAGTTAAGTCCATCTCCAAGTCAATCCACTTCACAGTATTCTTCAGGTACTCCCTATCCTATATCTCACTATATAAGTTGTGAAAATTTCTCTGAAAAGCATTGCAGGTTTGTTGCTGCTATTACTCTAGCCCAAGAACCCATTCATTATGCTGAAGCAGTGCAAGATGCCAAATGGAGGCTTGCAATGCAGCAAGAACTTCATGCACTAGAAGCCAATGGAACATGGTCTCTAGAAACTCTACCGGATGGGAAGAAACCTCTTGGTTGTAAATGGGTATACAAGATCAAGCATAATTCAGATGGCACGATAGAGCGATACAAGGCGAGGCTGGTTATTCTCGGGAATCATCAAAAAGAAGGGGTTGACTATACTGAGACATTTGCCCCTGTTGTCAAAATGGTTACGGTTCGCCTTGTTCTTGCTGTTGCAGCGACAAAGAAGTGGGAATTGCATCAAATGGACGTCCACAATGCTTTCCTTCATGGTGATTTACATGAAGATGTCTACATGAAGCTTCCTCCGGGCTTTCATGCTTCTCAACCGAACCATGTTTGTAAATTGAAAAAGTCTTTATACGGTTTGAAGCAAGCCCCTCGTTGTTGGTTTGCCAAATTATCATCTGCTTTGATAAACTTTGGATTCCGTCAATCAGGTTGTGACCACTCACTCTTTACTCTTCTTGCCCATGGAGTGCAAATGATGGTTCTGGTATATGTAGATGATTTAATCATATGTGGGAACGATTCCGCTGCAATTCAACGCTTTAAAGAATATCTTAGCAAGTGCTTTCACATGAAAGACTTGGGACATTTAAAATATTTTTTGGGAGTAGAAGTTGCAAGGAATTCAAGTGGAATATTTTTGTGTCAACGTAAATATGCATTAGACATCATTCAAGAAGCAGGCCTGCTTGGTGCACAGCCCGTGGCTACACCTCTTGAGCAGAATCATCAACTTGGACTCGCCACTGGACGCTACATTGATCAACCTGACAGGTATCGACGCCTTGTTGGGCGCCTCATATACTTGTGTTTTACCAGACCGGAATTGTCCTACTGTGTTCATACCTTGTCGCAATTCATGCAACAACCGCGTGAAGAACATTGGAATGCAGCCATTCGAATTGTGAGATACCTCAAAGGAAGTCCTGGGCAAGGAATTCTCCTCAAAAGCACATCTGATTTCCAACTACATGGATGGTGTGATTCCGACTGGGCCGGATGTCCATTAACTCGGCGTTCAACTACTGGGTGGGTTGTGTTCTTGGGTCACTCTCCTATATCTTGGAAAACCAAGAAACAACATACTGTCTCTCGTTCATCTGCTGAAGCAGAATACCGTTCTATGGCTACTACTTGTTGTGAACTTAAGTGGCTCCGGAGCTTACTGGCTGATTTAGGCATTTCTCATAAAGGACCTATGCACCTCCACTGTGATAGTCAGGCTGCTTTGCATATAGCGAAAAATCCAGTTTTCCATGAACGGACAAAGCATATTGAAGTGGATTGTCATTTCATTCGTAATGAGATACTCCAAGGCACCATTCAACCATCACTTAAAATTATTTGTAATATAATTTTTTTAATTTCTTAAAAATTTTATAAATATCCATGGATATCCGTGGGTATTCAAAAAATTCAGGATACCCACTTAATGGATACCCGCGCGAATATGAGGTGGGGATGTTGCCAGTGTAAAATTAATAATACATAGGTGATTAACTCATATAAAATTAACATAACTGAGCATTTGTAAGAAATTCAGCAACCTGATAACCAGCGACCCTTTTTGATCTCGGTCTTGTTCTACAAAGTCAATCTTTTGTAGTACCAAACTTTCAATTGTAGGCTTGTAGCCTTTGGGTTCTCAACTTCTCATACCCAGTCCTTTACAGGAACGAGATAATAGTAGGTGGAGCACTATATGGTTCATTTTAAAAGGTTTAATGCTAAAATTTTCTTCGTGATTTTGTAGACAAAAATGGCATCAAGGCATATCAAGTTCTGTAAGCCGATTTCGATTTGCTAGTTCAAAGGAAAAACATATATAATCATTCTCGTTTTGACAACTTATGGACGAAATTTTATTTCAACAAATTGTAACAATATATATAAGCCTAACAGAAAATAGAACTACAGAAAGTGAACATGAAATCAAACCTTATGGTACATTTACACAAATATATTATTAGTTTTCTTTTCAATGTACAGGTGCCATTCTGAAGCATATTAATTGTGAGATAATCAATAAATATTTAAACTGTTTTCAGGCCTTCACAGTGACCTTATAATGGTAGCGACGGGAACAAAATATGAAATAGCACAAATTCAACACTCCCAATGCCGCAACAATGAAATAGAAGTTCTCCAATCTGCCCTTGTTGATGTCACCATCAAGCCAATCTGGTTGACCTTGTTTCCCAGTGTAGGAATGCACAATGTTTACTATGAAGCTGCTCAAGTTACTAGCAGCTGAAATATTGAGACATAGCAATGCATTGGCAATACTTTTCAAGCCATCAGGGGACTCAGCGTTGAAAAACTCAGTGTGGCCAACAGTTGCAAACACATGACAAAATGCCAAGAGCATGAACTGAGGAGTTAGCCACAACACTGACATGGGTGCAACCCCATCAGATGCACCCTTTGAAATGGCCAATTCCCTTCTCTTGATCTCCACCACCCCTGAAACCACCATCGATAGAATTCCACAAGCGTGACCAAGTCCAATCCTTTGAAGGGTTGTTAGTCCCCTTTCTTGCTTGGTGAACTTTTCTAGGGCAGGAGCAATTATTTCATCATAGATTGGGAGGAATACACCTATTGACAACATCATTATGACGTTTACTGAGCCAGCATGTATCTCAAAATTAGCTCCCAAGTTCCTATCCATTTTCAAGGCTTGTGATACTGCAAATATTGCTTGTTGTCCTATGGGAATGTTGACTATGATGCTGGTTATGAATACCGGCATGATCTTAAGTAAGCATTTCACCTCTTCAACTTGTTGGACGGTACAAAGTCTCCAAGGGTCTTTGCGTGATCCATCATTGTTCAATTCATTTTCTACTAAAATGGCTGCTTTGTTTAAGCACCTAAGAAACAAAAATAGTAAGTAGCACAAGCAAATTTTTTTTTTTAAATCAAGATGATCCTTATTGAAAGTTAAAGATTAATCTTTTGAAGCATTAATATTTATTTAAAGAGTTGACTTCTTTTTATAAATATTTTTTTCACATACATGAATTAGGAATCAAACATCTAACATTATGTTTAAGAGTCAAAGTTATAGTCAATTATCACATTTTTTTATATGTAACATAAAAGAAAAGGTTGACCCAAATTTATTTTTGTTGATTTCTTTTTGTAATAGAAATATCTATATAAGAAAAAATAATTTATGCATCGATAAATTTATTAACATTTATAATAATTACCATAAAACTTATACCATAATTTTGTATCAATTGAAAGTATATATTTGTTGTGCATCAAAAAATTCACACACATGTTTTCACATTGAAAATATATTATCCACTTTAAATTTAAGTTTTCATGATTTTATTTTTAATTATCATACAAAAAATTTATTACGTGAAACTTTGATTCTATCCAATAATTTTTCTTACACACATAATATATATAAATTAAACTTTTAGTATAAGACTAATATTGTTCTTGAAAATGGTACCATGAATCAATTTATCCCTTTACATTATAAAAAAGGTAAATTTAGTATTTGACTTTGCAACCAAGAGTCAATCCAAACTTTAATATTATAAGAAAACATTTTGGTATTTTAAACAAATGAATTCCCGTTGTCAAATTCAATAACAAAATTTACTTATTATAATGTCCAAGACCAAATTGATTGATGATGTGAATTTCATGTACTATTGTGATATTATTTTACCTATAGTCATCTGTGAGGGGCAATTTTACTTCAGAATCATTGGTCTCGAGTAGAGGATCATATAATGCTCCTTGTGTGTGGTCAGCTGGAGGCAGACGAAGATGGCGCTTGTGTTGTGCTGCAACCATCACTTTAGCTATGCTAGAAAAGTTGCTTCCCTCAGGCTTAACATAGGAATAAACTTTAGTACCAGCAACGAAGAAAACAATTGAAATAACCATAAACACACTGGGAAGTGCAAAACCAAGAGTCCAACTGACAGAGTCTTGAATATAAACCAATAGAGTTTGGTTGATCAACAGAATCAGTGTCTGTGTGGTGTAGTACAAAGTGTAGAAGCTACTACTTCCTTGTCTTCCTTCAGCAGTGGTCAAATCAAATTGGTCAACAGCAAAAGGAATACTGCATGGCCTAATTCCACCTGTGCCTATAGATAGCCAGAACAACCCAAAAATTAAGACACCCATTTGGAAATTTGTTTGGCCAATGCACTCATCATTTTGTTGTTGCTGAGTTGAGCATGGTGCAGGATGAAATTGGGGCACACAAGCCGTTAGCATCACTATCACCATACCCTAGACAATTTTTTGAAATGAAGGTTATATATAATCTGAAATTATTAAATATTTCCAGCAGTGATTTTATTGTAATTGACCACATGAAATTAAGATGTACCACAAGACTTGAAAAGGATGAAAGAACAATCGTGTGAAACTTTCCCAAGTAGGCATCAGCAACAAAGGCTCCAATTAGAGGAGTGATATTGGAAATAGCAAGCCAAGTGTTCAAAATGTATGCAGAAAGCACCTGATCCATGTTATACACTTTCATCAAATAAACCACAAAATTTGCTTGCATTCCAAACGATGCCAGCCTCTCAATTGTGTCATTACCTGCACATTTTTTTAATTTTATTTTAATAATGGCCTCATAGCATAATTGAATTATTAAGTATCAAAATAAGAAGAAAAAAAAAACAAATAAAATATACTTTGTTCAATAACCTTAATTTTTTTTTTGTTTTAATTTGGTTTTCTTGAGTTTAAAGGATTTTATATCTTTGTTTGATCAGATTGATATCGTTCTGTCAATTTTTTATATTAACTTAAATTATATGACAAATTGTGAGAGACATGGTTTTTTTTTTTTTAATTTGATTTTCTTGTGTTAAAATTTTTTGTCTCGATTAAATTGATCATTCTGCCAAATTTTTTTTATAACAACTTAAAATACACGTAAATTATGAAAGACACCATGTTATATAGACATCTATCATGTCAATTAAAATTAACCAACTCCAAAATTAGTGAAGTTGTTGCTTTAAGTCTCTTTTAAAAATATTATTTTATATTAAGAATTATAATTTGTATTAATATTTTATAATTCAAAAGTTATAATTTGTATATTTAAAAATTTATTTTAAAAATCTTATTTCTAAAAGATATACAAATATAAAATCAAGGAGTTGGACACAAATAGTTAATGTATTAAATATAAGGTTGAAATGTTAGACAATACTCGTTCAATTCTTGGTCAGACTTTACTTATTTTCTGACTAAATCATATTAGTTTAATACGTACATTAGTACGAAACTAAAAAATTATTAATATACTTTTTTTTAAGACTCATTTCTAGAATATTTTTATTTTTTATTAAAAGATATTTTTATTGATTTTAGAAAATTTCACTTTAAAATTTGCTTTTAACCTAATAATATGTCGGATAGATCTTGCTAATATTTTTAAAGATTGTCAGAGATTAACTTAGTTTAACGGAAATAATTCAAGAAATATTTTCTTTTTGTTTTTAAATTTAAAATGAAAAAAAAATAAGAAGAGAGATCAAAATGTATTTTAACCTAAAATAATTATAAAAATGTTTAGAGACAGACCTAAAATGTAAGGCATGGCTTTCCATCCGGGCTTCCTCGAGCATGTCTTTGGCTGAGATTCAGCAAGACTTTCTTCATCAAGCAATTTCTTTTGCAGAGATGGCATTGAATCGCGTTTTAGCCTTAAACCACTTGCTTATACGGTTTTTGTAACTCTTGAATGCATGAAACATGTGTAAAACTATGGATGTTATTTATAAACGCAACATGAAACAGAAAAGGCTGAAGTGCAAAACTCTCATGCATCGGTCCTGGTCACATTAATACTCCTTTTTGTACTGTAATTTATGATTAAAACTGCTTTTTGACTTATAATTTTAGTAATAATATATTCAAAATATCCTCATTAGCTTTTATGATTCTTTTTTCCTATAGAAAGATTTTTTATGATATTTTTTATTTATTTTTTTGAAAAGCAATAAATTAATATTAAGAATGTATTTAGAAAATTATTAAAAGAATTAATAAGTTATTTTGACAAAAATAAATTTATTTGACATGTCATTAATAATTTATTAACTTATTTGTTAAATTATTTTAACAAACTTAGGAAAATGATCTGACTTATAAATTATAAACTTTTTTTTTATCATTTTTATCATTTTACATAATTAGACAACATTTTTCAAATATTATCAAAGTGGTATTTTTATAATATTTTAATAATGTTATACTAAGTTTTAGTAAACTAATGATTAGTTTTAATATAGATGTTATCACTTATACTTTATGGTTTCTAATCACCTACAAGTCTTTTAAGGTTCAAGATATTTTAGTTAATCACCGCAAATCTATACCAAATATCATATATCAAAGTTGATTTATCTTAAATATCACTTTATGATTATATATACATTTTATGTTTTATTTATTTACTTGATGTGAGACTTTAATTTGAAAAATAATTAAAGATTCAAGAAGTATATTCTTTATGCGACATTCTTGTATTCGATGTGAGACTTTACATTTGAAAAATAATTAAAAAGAACGATATTGAGATAAAAAAAATATTACTCTATCTATAATAACATTTTTTAGAAGAAAAAAAAAGGTTATAAAATAACTTATTAACTCAATATATAATAACATTTTAATAAATATAAGTATGAAAAATATTATTAAAGAAGTTAAATATAGTAGTGTCTCTTAATTAAATGCATTCTACATCCATAGAAAAATGATTTACTTTTTCAAATAATTTTGATTTTGAACACAAATTGAGACCACCAATATCAAAATATTAAACAAATCTTTGAAAAATTTACAGGTTTAATACAATATTTTTTTAATTCATCTTCACTTAAATGTTTGGAATTTTTGAATTGAAATAAAAAAACAAAAAATAGTTCATATCCTAAATGAAAGAAAATAATATAAAAATGATAGAAAAGAAAGGGGGAAAATGAGATGATCGAAAGAATTTGAAATAAAAATATTAAATTTGCAATATATATATAGAGAGAAAAAGAGAGAATAAATTTATATTTATTACTTTTTTTTCTCCATATTTAATAAGTAGTTTTTAATGTTTTAAAATTTAATCTTACAATTCGAATATCAAGTACTACACTTTAAATAATTCAACGGAAAAGAGAGAAAAAAATTAACCAATAGAAATGTTAAAAAAAAATGAAATTAACTGATAGAATGATCGTATGTACAAAATTTGAATCGATGAATGGTTGAGTGTCTTGAAGTTTTTAATTCTTTTAGTTGATAAATTATAAGAATAAGAGTTAACAAGGAATTATAGTTAGTCAAGATTCTAAATGGTGTTATACATTTGTGAAATTTGGGACGTAAGCCACATGTCTTTCTCATCTTGCATTTTAAATGACCTTGAATGTAACTTAATCTTATAATATAATAATTGTTCTTTTATCTATATACATTATTTTGAATTTATCAACAATAAATATGAGATCTTTTAACACATTTTACTCACGAATTAAATATTGTATCACTCTTTATCCCTTATGCATAATTTTAAAATAACATAATAATAAACTGGAATATACTATATTTAATAGAAGAAAAATTGAAAGTAAGAAGTATTACATTCAAATTTCAAAAATCAAAGGCTAAAACTAAACTAAATCATTAAAAAAAAATCAAATAATTGCAAAAACATTTTCAAAAAAAAAAAAAAATTAAATGCTAATGCAGCAATAATAGAAAAATAGTCTTAACTAAATTCCAATGTCATATCCTATTAGAACATTCTCTTCCATAATTTAAACTCCTTCAAAATTTGAAATTCCCTGCATAAATAAACTAAAAATAAGACACAAAGGAAACAAGATCTCACTCCATCTACCAGTGTAAGAAAAAGTTGGATAGTCACAAAAAAAACAATACATATAAATGGAACATACATAGGGCTCATAAGTAATTAATCCATACATAACATTACAACAATTAAGACAATAATTCTCAATTCATAGTTCACCACATCACAATGTAAACCAAATTTATAATTCAAAGAAACAATATGTCATGTTCATACAAGGAAAAGACTTTTTTATCTATATGCATGTGGTGTTGGTAACACACTTTTATTACTACCCAAAGGCTGAGTAGTCTAGAAGTACATGCTAGGTCAAGTCATCATAGCACTCTACACCAGAAGAACATACAATTAGGGTCTCATTAGGATAATTGAGTTGCACAAGATCCACCCCATACACATAAAAGGCAAGACTAGGGCTTCTCAAATCAAACTATCCCCGATAACTAATTCCCAAGCTTTTACACAATGAAACTTTCACTAGCAACCTATTTTATATCATACCCATCCTAGAAACACTTATACAAATGATAAATGACATACAAACTCTATGTATGGTCACGTAATGCACATTCACATATTTACAAATTTCACAAGCAAGTAGTGTTGTTAAAATTGCGAACCAACTCGTAAAATCGTACGGTTTCTGGAATATATTCCTTGCTGAATTGGATGCAAAATCGGGGCGAAATAAGATTGGAGTAAAATTGCGATCTTTCACATGATTCGTGGGATCTTCAATCTTTCACGATTCAAAAAAATAAAAATGAAATATTGGGCAAATCACACCTAAAGATCTTCAACAACAAAAACTAGGGTTCTTCTTCCTATTTATATTACTGCATTGCAACAGAAGAAAAAAAACACTCCGCAGCACTAGAAGAAGAAAAACACTTCTCCGCAGTAGAAGAAGAAGAACGCAGTAGGAAGTCGGCAGCAGAAGAAGAAGAACAACACAACAATAGTAGAAGAAGAAGAACGTACGGCAACAGCAGAAGAACCGTACAGTAGCGGAAGCGGCAGAAGAAGAAACCCGGGACGGAACCGCAATAGAAAAAGAAGAACTGAAAAAGAAAGCTTTGTGCGCGTATGATCTGACCCTTTTTTTCTTTCTTATATTATTTTCATTTTCTTTTAAGATTTTAAGATTTTCTTTCTTATATTATCTTCCTTTATTTTTTTTACATTTATAGTTTTACACATTACTTATTGTATTTTTTTTTAACTTAAGTTTTAAACATATTTTAATTTCTTTCTTTTCTTTTAATTTTAAGTATCAAACATATTTAAAAATATAATGTCTCCACTCTCACCATTAATAATTTATTTATACAATTTTTTTCTTTAACTTTTTGCTTTATAAATATATTAAATCTAAGATTTACATATTAATGATTTTTCTTTTTTAAATAACTAATGTATTATTTTTGAAGTATTGTTATTTTTTCTTTATTAATTAAACATTATATAAATTTTTTTAAGAATTTAAAAAAATAGTGAAATATGTTAGTTTTTTTTTTAAAATTCAATCCTAAATAAATATAGTAATTCAATCTTTTTTTTTTTATTTTTTGATGTTAAATCCTAAATAAATATAATTTTTTTTTTTACATTTACAGTTTTACACATTACCTGTTGTATCTTTTTTTTAACTTTTAAGTTTTAAACATATTTTAATTTCTTTCTTTTCTTTTAATTTTAAGTTTCAAACATATTTAAAAATATGAATGTCTTCACTCTCACCATTAATAATTTATTTAATTTTTGTTTATATAACTTTTTCTTTAACTTTTTGCTTTATAAATATATTAAATCTAAGATTTACAAATTAATAATTTTTATTTTTTAAATAACTAATGTATTACTTTTGAAGTATTGTTATTTTTCTTTATTAATTAAGCATTATATATATTTTTTTAAGAAATTAAAAAAATAGTGAAATATGTTAATTCTTTAAAAATTCAATCCTAAATAAATATAGTAATTTAATCATTTTTTTTTTATTTTTTTGATGTTGAATCCTAAATAAATATAATTTTTTTTAAAAAATTTAATATCAATAAAATTGAATAATTCGACCTCTTTTTTTATATTAATTCAATTAATTCCTTTTAAAAATTCTTTTCTTCCTTCACTAATTTTTTTCTCATTTAATTTCTTATTTTTATTAGTGTTTGTTTAAAACTATTTTAGAAAAAATGGCATCAAGAGAAGGAACTCAAGGAAATGAACCACCACGAAAATTGCATAAAAATGCTGCTGGAATGAAAACTGATGTGGCATGGAAATATTGTGTTTCTGTTGATGGGGATGCAAGAAAAGTCAGGTGCAAATTTTGTGAAAAAATATTTACAGGAGGGGTTTATCGTTTGAAACATCATTTAGCAGGAACATTCAAAGATGTTGGAGCATGTAGATCGGTTCCTGAAGATGTTAAAAAAGAAATGTTGGGTATTGTTTCATCATTACAACAAAATCTCCTAAAAAAATTCGGTGACATTGAAGGAATATGTAGTAGTTTTGCTGCTCAATTAGAAGGTGGTACTATTGGTAGTCAAAATATTTTCAAGAGAAACGTTAGCTCTCAAATGACAATCAACAAGATCTTTAAGAAGGATTTGAGGGAGGAATCATGACAGGACATTGTTCTATTTTTTTATTTGAATGTTATCCCTTTTAATTCAACCAATAGTGAAGCATATAAGAAAATGTTTGAATCAGTTGCTCAACACGGTCTAGGATTTGACCCACCATCCTACAATGAGATTAGGGTGAAATACTTAAAGTATCATGTCAAAATGACCCCTCTTTCTTTAGATGATCATAAAACTTATTGGAAAAAATTTGGATGCAAAATAA